GGGAAAGGGAAGGGAGGAGAGGAAAGATACAGGAGGGGAAAGAAAGCATCGCCTGAGGTCTCAGTGAAACTGAAATGTTCCTTCAACAGGTTGATGGTTGCATGGGATCTGGGACCCTGCACAGCATATTACACAGCTTTAACACACTGAAGATACTGTTAAGAAACAAATGGTCTGCTCCATTTCTGCACCTGTCTTGCATGCTTGTTAAATAGAGACAGATTTTGTTCTCTGACTCTATCAGGTCACTTTTTCTTCTTTTCAAGAGTTTGACAATAGACAGATCCACGTAATTAGTTGTTCTGAGTACATTTTAATGTAGATATTTAAAGTCTACAAACGGCATTTTCAACTGCTGTATTAAAACAATAAGAAGTGTTTTCTTAAGCAGGGTACAATTGACTGTGAATTCATCACAGTGAAGGATTAATGTCAGTGGGTAAATGTCATTGGTTCACTCACACAATGCACTGTGAACATTCAGTTCCTCTTCTTCTCTGCTGACTGGGGTTCTGGGCCCTGTTCTCTGCCAATACACTCAGTTTTGTCACTTAGTGGAAGTACAATAGATCATGTTGTATGTGGATTAGGTTTTTTTGGGGGGGTTGTTTGTTTGTTTTTATTTTTGGGTTTGTTTTTGAAAAGCTTACTCTTTTGAGTCTCTCTCAGTAAAAATAGTCTACATCCATTTGGTTTTTCTTTTGAAAATTGGTAGAGTCCAATAGATATGCATTGCATTGGCTACATTTCCTGTTTATGTGACAGACAGGGACTCATGAGCAAGCTGGACATTTTCAGTAACATTGAGATATTGAGATATTCACTGAGAAACACTGGGACTTTTGCAGGGCATTTAAAAACTCTCTATGGCCTGATTTACTAGGTTCAGATAATTTATTGAGATAAACATCAAACAGATTTTTTACTCACTGGGTGCAAAGGACCAGATAGAAAACATCTTAAGAAGTAGGTGTTTCAAACTATAGCAAAATTTAACTTCACACATTTAAAATATGACTATATCATATAAAATATTACACATGAAATTCTTACACACACACAGACACACACACACACACATACACCTAATACAAAAACAATTCATCTTACACAGTGTGAAATTAAAAGCTTTTAACAGTCAGACAAAACTTTTTTTTTCCTTCTTTCTGGTTAAAACCAGTACAAAGAGGACAATCACTTAAAACACTTCTTTGGTATTTCCAAAGATTCTATTGTTCAACCTGTCTGCTCAAAATTTTACTCCTATAGAAGAAGAAATGAAAACTCCAACAGGACTTAACTCTTTCTTCAATAATAGCGAGGGAATTAATTTTAATGCACTAAATTCACAAGAAATTTCAGCAATAGAAAGATGCCTCTCAGTCTTATTATTTAATTGATCTTTTTGGAACAGTTCATTTGTACTCCAGAAAAATAATAAAGTAGGCTATTAAGTTCTTTCAAATGTATGAAAACAACAGTGACTAATACCCAGAAATCTCTTTATGAATGGCTTTTGTATTTGAACCCTCTAAATTCTAATCTCTAGTAGGTGGTTCTGGGCTTACGGTTATTATTATTTTAAGCTTAAAACTTCCTTAGTAGAATTGAAGTAAGTTTGATTTAAATTCCTTTTATTCATTTAAGATTGCCTGGAATGAATTCTACTTGCACAATGTAAAATATGTTAAATTTCAAAGCATTATACTTTCCCCTTCACTTTCTGTCTATAGTTTAGAGAAAAGCACACTATCTATGAGAGAAGCATGTGAATACTTGCATGCATACACACATACACACTCACAAATGACCATGCACACACCTTTTTACACATGTGCATACAAGTGGACACAAACACACACAACACATACACACACGTGTGTGTGTGTATGTGTGTGTGCACATGCATGTATGAAGAAAAACTGGTCAGTCAAGAGACTAGATTCTATTTATTAGGCCTTGAATTAAATGTCAATTTCTTTTTGCTTCCAGGTCAATATCTGTTAGGCACTGAACCAGAAAATGTTTTTTGCCTGACTCACGTCAACATTTTTGGAAAACAGAAAATGGAGGAATGTAAATGCCTATATCAAAAGCACCATAGCAGTACTGGTGCTGTGTACTGGCTCCTGTGTTCTCACCAATACATGGTATTAGCATCCCTTCTTATTGACACATCTCCATGTGTCTATGGCCACATTACAGAACACATTGGATTTTGGTTAACAAAGTACCTTTACCTGTGTTTTTCTGTCATTCAGATAACCTGTTCTATGAGACAGTAGTTGGATTTCTGGGTGAGAAAGCTATTTTTAATTTATTTGAGCACTGATCTGCTTTTTCTTTTGAGCTGATGTGCAAAAGTATGCTTTGGATTCTATTGTATAAGTTGTGTGTTGGAAACGAATTTAAAAAAGGTTATAGCATCATGCTCTGACTTATCTCTCTTTATAATGATTTAATAAATTGAGAACCCTGGATTATAGTGAAAGGTCAATATAAAACTTTCCCTCAGTCAGTTAGCATTGAAAATAATTTTTTAAGTGCTATCTACCTCCAATGACAAAATGTGTTTCTTTTTCTGTACTCTAAAAGTTTTTTTATGTGAACTTTCAAAATTAATAATATATTACATATCTTTAGGCATATAAGCTGTGGCTCCATAGTTATATTTTAATGTGTATGTAGATACACATAAATCTGTGGATTAAATGATGTATTTATAGGAAAGAGAACACTGTGACTCTGTTTATGAAAGTGTAAATTAACATGACAATCACAGAAAGTAGGGGAGAGATTCTTCAACATAAAAGAATATAATGCTATCTTCCAATCCTAGTAGTGAATACATATGAAAAAGAAATCAGATTGTATGTTGAAAAGACAGCTGCATTTTATAAAAGTTATGCACTATTCATAAAAGTTAAAAATAAACCAGCCAAAAACTCACCTGAAGAGCAGATGAAAAATATAGCACATATGGACAATGGAATAGTATTGAGCCATAGAAAACTCTGAAATCTCTTTGGTTGCAAAAACATGGATGGAACTGAAGATTAATATGTTAAGTGAAATAAGGCAGAACACAAAAAGAAAAGATCTGTGTATGTAGAATCTCTTAAAAGTTATTCTCATTAAAGATGAGAATACAGTTGTGCTTATTCAAAACAGGAAATTACAAGGAGGCAACGATGAAGAGAAGCTTATTAATGGGTAATTTGTGTCATTCATTCATTCATTCATTCATTCGTTTGTTTTGAGATAGGGTTTATACTACATAGCATTTGCTGGAATGGAACCTGCTTTGTAGACTCGGCTGGCCTCAAAATCAGAGATTCACCAAGTCCTGGGGTAAAAGTATGTGCAACCTTAATTACACTTAGATAAGAATAAAAGAAGTTCTGGTGAGCAGTATAATAATCACAATCTACTAGAAAGACTTTGTATATTTTCATTTGAAGGTAAAAAGGAAAAGAAAATGGCATGTTAAACAGAATGTACACGTCTAACCTGGAAATATTTTACATACATATGTATGGAAACATCACATGGCACTTCATAAATATACACAATTTTTGTATCTTTATGTATCAGATCAAATAAATTTAATTTAATGGCAAAAAGATAGTGTATAGAAGAGTTTCTTTGTAATAGAAAAAATTACCTAGTGATGATGAGATGGATTGTTACATGTTCTTGCACTGGAATAATATGCAATGAAGATCATCCTGTAACTCACAGCTATGCAGTGAAATGTTATAGATGTGGTATATAGTAAAGAAGCCAGTAACTAAAAACAAGAGATATGGGATTTTCTTTAAACAGTTCTCATGCCTGATAACTACGTGGTGGTTTCCCTTTGGAGATGAGATGGTTAGTGCTTGAAGATGGCATGAGAAAGATGCCTGGTGGCTGGTAACATTCTTTATCTCTAAGAAACATGTACACAGCTCATTATGCTTGATAAAAATACATCAAACTGCATGCAAAATCTGCCTCCTCTATAATACTATCATAATATTCCTAAATATTATTGGTCATATTAATAGGACTTTATCAATGTGTGTCAAAGGTATATGCATGTTCATATATGCATGTGTTTACAGGTAAAAATATATGTGATGCCCACAAGCCGACTCACTCTGTTATTTTCTGAGACAAGATCTTTTGCTGAATCTGTAGCTCACTGCTGTACCTAGACTAGCTAGCCAAGGATCTCAAGGGAGATGTTTGTCTCTGCTCCCATCTCCAATCCTGGCATTGAATTTGGGTATAATCACATCCAGCTTGAATATGGATGCTGTAGGTCAGAACCAAGTGCTTCATGTGTGTGCAGCAATCACTTGATTGACAGCCATTTCCTGAGCCACAGATAAATCCTTTCTGAAGCTAATATTTTAATCTCATGTAAATTCTTTGACATACAGGCCCCAATTTACACCCTAATGCAAAATAATCTCTGTTTCCATGTTTACTTCCCACAAGAGCCCTAACCAGTTTTAATTCTAATTTCCCTGATCAAAAAACAACAAACAACCCAGAGCAATCTCATCAAAATGTTCTACACTTGTTAAATCATCTACCTACTTAGAAATTACTACTATTTCCCTTTAGTAGTTTGTAAACTACAAATCGTAAAACCCTTGAGTATACATATTGTGGTATGACTTACATGTGGGATGTAAGTCAGTGCAGAAGGGAATGAGTTACATTACATCACTTTGGTTACTATGTGGATTTAGCTTTCATATGGTACTTGTTTGTTAACTAAAATTATACCACATTTTATATCACAGATTGTGAGTTTAAGACAGGCCAAGCATGTTCCATTAAAGGGAGTAGCAACAGCAAAACATTGGGAATTCAAAAGCAAATACCAACTTTACTGCAGTTTTATTCTATGATCACATATACATTATCAATCTACCTCTTTGCAATTCCTTAAGATAAAGTTTTTCCTTCCTCAAACAATCTCCTTTGTTTTTTAAAACATTTTCCAGGGAGAAGATGCAGAAGAAACATTTACTCTATATTCTGAAGGTTTCGCGGAAATTATGAAAATATGACAACTATCACATTGAAAAGTTTGGATCCTTCAATTTAGCATTAAAGAAATATCACAATAGTAGATATGAAATGGGTGACCGGCACTAATCACAGATAAGATTTCAAAGGAGAAAAAGATTATCCCAAGTTTCAAGGACAAGTAAAATCTGCAACAAAAATAGAATTTTTATTTTAATGTAATTTATTTTAATTTAATTAAATTATTGTATTTTAACATACCTTCTACATTCAAAGGAATGAATGTCATTGCTTTTTCATGCATGTATGAAAAGGAATCTTGATCAACCTTATCCCACTGATCCATCTTCTCAATTTCCCACTTGGAAGATTTCTGAGAGCCTGTGTAGGGTTCAGGCAAACAGACGATGAGACGATGTTCCATACTCTGAAAACATCAATATGAGGAGTTTAAGAAGATGGACAGGCATGTAGGCACTTTTATAGTGTCCTGCAGAATAACTTCACTGACTGGAAATTCTGTTTCTGTCTAATCTCCTTTGTCTTCTTGCAAACTCTGGAAACTATTGATCTTTTCATGCCTTTATGGTTTAAATTTTCATAAATGTTGTATAATTGCAATCAAACAGAATATGGCCCTTTTATAGAGTCTTCTTTTATTCAACAATGTATCAATCTCATAGCCTCATAATTCATAAGACATACATTTTCAACTTCTTTGAATATATACCATGCTGTGTGAAAGTACTGTGACCAAAAGCAGGTTGGAGAAAAAAGGGTTCACGTCCATATCACTGTCCCTGAAACTAGTCAATAGAGTAGCTCAAGCAGGGAAGGAACCTGGAGGCAGGAGCTTATGTAGAGTCCATGTAGGGTTTTCACTTATTGACTTGTTTTTCATGGCTTACCCAGTTTGCTTTCTTATAGAACTCAAGACTATAAGCTCAAGAGTGGATCCACCCACAATGGGCTGGGCCCTCCCACATCAATGACTAATTACAAAAAATGCCCTAAGGCATGTCTACAGCCTGATCTTATGGATCAGTTTTCTCTGTAATGTTTCTGCCTCTCTGAAGTCTCCCTTTCATGCCAAATTGACAAACTACTACCTTTTTTATTTTTTATTTTTTCCAACTTGACACAAGCTAGGTTCATCTGGTGGGAAGATAGAGTCTCAATTGATAAGATACCCCCTTCAGATTGTCCTGTAGGTAAGTCTGTAGGACATTTTAATTAATTGTTGGTATGGGAAATTATTGGTAGGGTACAGCCTAAGTGGGTGGTGCTATCCAGGGCAGGAGTTTCTGTGTTGTATAACAAAGCAGGCTCAATAGGCCCTTGAGATCAAGCCTTTACTTTAAGCAGAGTTCCTCTCTGGTCTCTACTTCAGTTTCTCCCCCTAGGTTCCTGCTTGATTTCCTGCCTTTGCTCCCTTTTATGATCAATTGTAATATGTAAGATGAAATAAACCCTTTCCTCCCCAAGTTGCTTTTGATCAGGTGTTTATCATAATGATGAAAGAAAACTTAGTCTTAAGTTCTTAAGAGCTTTTGACAGAACAGAACAATGCCATGATCCAATAAGGAAACGTGGTGAGTTAAGAATTGGTAGCTTATGGGAAAAAAGTATTCTGGATAAAGAGAGTTAAGAAGGCTGGGACTGGTGACTTAATAACTGTGTAATTTGGGAAGCCTACTGAACGATGAAGAGGTGCGGTATCCTGTTTGGATGTTTAAGGACTTGACGATGATGGTGGCATAGCATTAAAGCAACCCTTGGTTCTTTTAGCATTTATTTTCTAGCCACATGGGGATTAAAACAGCACCCGAAGATGCAGGAATATGGAAGTGGCATTTGAGCAGAGATCACAAACGTCTGTAGGAAAAGAACATTTCAGAATGATGTGGTGGGCCCTGAGGCATGAGCATATCTGATGGTGAGTTGCAAGTAGCAGTGACCTGCAGAAGAGAGATGTTTGTGTCAAAGCAGGCTACATATCACAGAAGCTGCAAAGGCAAATGGCGAGAACACTGATTTCACTTGCCATAGAATCATCCCACTCCTTTGGGAAAGAGTCAGTTGTAGGAAGCAATAGTGATAAGTAGAGATGGTGGTGACTGAATAGCAAAGACAGGATGAAGGGAAGTAGCTGGAGTTGCTATTTAACAGCATCATTTTCATTTTTTATAATATCTTAAAAACAATATATACAATAAACAACTTTTTATTTCTCTTAAAGTTTCATTGGTCTTCCACTCTTCATAAAATGGCATAAACATTCCTCATAATTAAGACAGAAACTTCAACTTGTTCTTCCTTACTTTTCCATAGGCACTCAGTAAGCAACTCCTGTCACTTAGAAGCCCTTTCCAGCTCTGTTGCAGTTTCTTTTACTGATGCTCTAGCATTCTCCTGAAATAGTGTAACCTGGTAACAGTGCCTTCCATGGTCCTTATGTTATGTCTAGGTTCTCAAGTGTGCCCTTAAGGTGCAAAGAAGGTTAATTTATTGTAGACAAAAGCCTTCAGTAGATCCCTGCTAAGCTTTGGGTTAAACTGATCTCCCTGGGAGCTACCTGCTTCTGTCATGTACAGGCCCTGTTCTATCCTAAGTTCTACTAAATTGGACTGTGATTCATTATACACAGCACAGGTCTGGTGATGCCTAAAATAATATTAACTCTATTGCAATAGTACCAGTTTATGCTAGAAAAAAACTTAGGAGGTAAGATATTCTACAACTATTTAATCATACCAGTTCTTAATGAATAATTTTTTTAACGTTAAGTAGCCCATTGTAATTCCATGACCAGTATACAGTAATTCAACAAAATTCAAAGGCAAGTGGTTTCTCAGACAGTGGAAAAGGAATAAAAAGCAAGACCTGTTGGTGACTGCTGGCCTTTGGTTGCTTCCCCACTCCCCCACTCCTCCCTATATTTCTACTCCTAAGCTTTAAATAGCTCTGCTTCCAATGTCTATTCAAATGCTAACAAGTCAGAACATACCCTCAGAAGGATGCCTCCCTGCTGCAGGCTGTAATGATGAGATTATACATTTCAACACCTGGATGTGACACTCAAGAGAAGAATTTTGATCCCCTAGTATAAAGAGTCTCATTAGAGAAAATGAAATGTGAACTCCCCCTCGTAGGACTAGCATGTTCTTTTAGGTAAGCAGGCTGCACTTACACTGGAAAGGCATTCTTTGATCTTCTGTGAGTCCAAGTACTCTGCACATGCATACATTTAAAACAATGCTTATCGTTTGTTTTGTCATTACAAGTAATCCTGCTTTGGTCTCTTTGAACTGTAGGCAACAGGCAATTCAACTTAAGTCTTTTCTAGACATCCTCCTTTCTCTATTGGCTGATGAAATTTCCTTGGATTTAACACCTGAAAACACTGTCTCCTTTCCCTTTCATGATGCAATTACCAGAACAGATACATTGTTAAGCTGCACCCAGGAAGTCAGTTGAGTAATTGAAGAACAAACTAATTTACCTTCTGACCTTTCTTAACCAGGAAGTTCAGAAAGACAACTTAGAAGTTAACCTACACATCTGGGGATTTGGAAAACATAGTTTGTCAATAAACAGCTTCTGAGTGTCACTATTCATACGTCTGTTTTATATTTGATTCATTGTGTTGTAGATATATTAGAAATCTATGACAAATGGACAGTGTTAGGTTTTAAAACATTAGTGACAACTTGGTAAACATGCAAAATGGATAAATAAGTTTTCTGATCATTTTTTAAACCAGTCCTGTTCATTAAAATTAAATTTTAATCAACTCAAAATTAAAATGTCATTTATGGCTAAGACTTTCCAGCAATACATAGTTGTGTAAACAGCTGGCAAATTTCTAGATATCACATCTGGTAGGTGTGGATGAAACTCATTAGATTAAGTCTTCTAAGCATGGATGTGTGCCAAAGCTTTGATATGATAAGCATTTGTTCCTGATGGCGGTCATTTGTTCTTTGCCAGCTCATAAGTGCTTCCTTCTAGCCATGGATTGCATTTCCGCTGGCATGTGAATCACTGGCCACCACATCCCTGCATATTATAATCCCTGCGCAAAGTAATTCCTAACCGATCCAAAACAGGCAAAGGGAACTCACAGTATGCTGACTGGCAGGAGCAGCTTCCACTCAGGGCAAGAGAGTTTTAACAAAAGAAGGAAGTCTGTGCAATTCTGAAGGGTCACTTGAACATTTGATTACAGACTCGGAGAGGCTTGTAGTAAAGGCCTGTTATGGAGAAGACAGAAGTCAGAACAGTTTGATACCAAAGAAAACGTCTGTTTTCTTTTAGATATCCCCTAGTAGGTGACTGTAGAATTTTCTGGTTTTCTTCGAGTTAGTGTGTGAGAAAAGGGCTCAGGCAAGCTATGTGTAGATGTGATGGTTGCTAGGAAGAAGGGCTGATAGATAGCACATGCCTTGCTTAAATAACGGGTACAATGTGATTCTTGTGCAGTTCTCTGTCTTTCTCAAAGTGTTTTGAAGAGACAATGCTTCTGCCGTGGAAGTGACTGATGCTAATAGAATTCTCTATTTGCAAGAAAAATATAACAAAATCTGTTCCAGGTGACAACAAAGAAATGGATAAATGGTGAATCAAATACTTCTATCACTAATACAAGGATGAAATTCAATTTGGGGATGCGTATCATCAGTGACCCAGCAGACCCATGATTTATTATTTCCAATTGTACTTGGTAAGATATAATTCAATGTGTAGCATAATATGATAATAAGCCATTATGTCTCTATTCTAGTGAAAGTATCAACTTTTGTGTTACTCATACCATTTTTTCCACCACAAAATTGCATTTTGTCTGGCATATTCCCTGATACAGATAGTCATCACAAAAGCATCTGTAATACCAATGTACTTAGTATCTGATGCTTGAGGATATTTTGAAGTTAGAGGATGAGGATACTTCAAGTCTGACACAAAACAGAAAGTGAAGAACTGAAGCAGGCATCCTACCCTTCTCAGTAGATATGTGTGTCCTTTCCCCAGCCTTGCTTTTGTCTTATTTTAAATTTTCTGCAAACTGATGCTAAGGGTCAGTCTGCAGCAGATCGCCACTGACATCCGGTTACTTCCAACTCATTTGCCAGGGTCACGTGGAGAGACCCCTTAACTAATACTTGGTGTGGTCCCGACCATGTTTT